AGATTATATATATTATTAATATCATCTAAAATTGCAAAGTAATTATAACAGATTTTACTTTTTACTTATATTATACTCTTTATTAAATCTGATACTATATATTTTAATATATCTTTTATACTTTTTTGATCATCTTTACCAATTAAATTAACTATTTCATCAATTATTTTTAGATTGGTAATATCAGGATTCAGGATTATTAGTTAAATTTATTATATTATTACATAATGGTATTTTAACTGTTCTAATTTTAACTTTGTATTCCTTTCTTTATTAATTTGTATCTGTTAACTAAAAATTGCCTATTCATTAATAATTTCTAAATTTCTATATGCATTTTATAAAATTTGTTCTTGATCAATTGTTTTTACTATTGCTTCATACTTTTGTTTTTTTAATTACTTTATTTTCTTCACCAAATTTAATTTTATATTCATTGTTACCAGCTAAAAATTCACTATTAAAAAGTTGATCTAAAAAGAATTATCAAATGATCTATAGAAATTACTGAAATTAATTTTATGTTGATCACAAATTAGAAAATCTGCATAATTCTGGATCCATAGGATTCTTAGGATTCTCAAGATTCACCTAATAAGCCTTATAAGCTGGATAATTGTTATAACACTTATTTCTATTATTTTAATTATTTTTATTATTTTTATTATATTAGCACTTGTAACTACAAATTTAGTTAGTTTATAGTGTAGTAACTAGTTAGCCATAGCAGATTAATTTTGTATAAATAGAATAGCTTTTTGCTTTAATTGTAAATTAACTTATTTGCGAGTTTAAAACTTTATTGCGAATTTTAGTTTTATTACAAGTTCAAATAATAAATAAAGGAATCAACTTTGAAAAATAATTACTTTTCCCTTCTACGTATCAATCATCTAGAATTTAATCGTGAACTACTAGACTAATTTGCTTTTGAGTTCATCACTTAGAATAAATAAATTCTCTATATTTTTCTCTAAGTCTCTAAACCTTTAAGTTTATAAAGTTAAGTGAAGTAATTTTAAGGCATTTTGAATACCTGTAAGACGTGAGATTTCTTAAGGTTGTAAAGTTTAATAATAAGGAATTTACTTGCTACAGTAAAGTAACTTAATGAAACATGTGCGATAGAAAGAGAATTATTCCTGATGACACCATGATTTTTTATAGAAAATTGAAGTTTTTTAAAATAGGTTGATCTATAAAATTATAGTATTATTTAGATATATTTGTAAAATAATCAGACATCTGCTTGCTAACATTTTTAGCTCTTTTTGTAAGAGTAGAGTAGGTGGCTTAATCTACTAGTTTTAAAATATATATTCAGGTAACCTTTCATAATATTGTCATACAGATTTAATTAAAAGTATTTCTGAGATTTATGTATTAGTTGCTGATATAATTTTCTATAATATAGAATAATTAAACTTATTAAATATTTATAACAATAAAATTATACTAGTTTTATAATATACTAATCTTATGTAATAATATAGCAGCATTTAAAGGAGATTTATTTGAAACAACTTGTTTAGAAAAGTTATTATCAAATATAATTTGATATACAGGCGTATTGTCAGTATATACTAAACTGTATATTTATTTATTTCATTCTCAAGTTGTTTGAATTATATAATCATTTGGAATTAAATGTAAAATATGTGCTAAAGTTCATTATAATATAGGATTTTTTTTTTGATAAAACTTTCTTTTATTATATTAGAATATCTATTTTCTTTTCATTTAATATTTGAATCTTTAAGATAATTAGAAATTTCTTTTTTAATGAATGTTATATAACAATATCTACAAGTATTACAAAACACTATCAACAACTTTAATATTGTAAATCTATTTATATATACTAAATTTTTATTAGCTAATTTTGTATTATAACATCAATAACTACTAACTAACTCATTTCTTACCTTAAGCTAATCAAAAAATTTTATTACAAGTATGAAAATGAATAATAAATGAAATTTTTTATGTAAAATTTTTTATATCATCAAAATTAATAAACTTTTTAAGAGTCTATTTGTCATTTTTTATGCTATCAAAATCAATTATTCACATATATTTTAAGAGACCAAGTCAAATATTTATATGATAGTCTTGATTTTATTATTTATTTATACCTATGAAATTTTATAGATAAAATTCTTTTAAAAAAATGTTCTTACAATCAAAAGTATTGTTACTTTATATTGATAAAGTTTTTTTATCATATTTTACTCATTAAATAAATTTATGTATAGATAATATATTTAAATAATCTGAAAGATATAAGAAAGTTTCATTTTAAGCAGTTGTAATTATGTCTTTTTTAACTTATCAACATATTTTTTAGAAAATTAAAATAAGAACTTTAGTTAAATAGTAATTTATGATCACTTGAAAGGTTATGTGAAATTAGATAAAATAGACATTATTCTTGTATAGCAAGTATTTTAAAAATAGAAACTGTATTAAAAGTTAATTAATAATTTTAAAATTTTTATTTATAATTTTATTTTTTTATTTTTTTTTAGTTATTTATAACAAAAATCCAAGATTGAATCATAAAGAACATGATGATTTACTTATTTCTTCTAAATAACAAATATTGTAAGTGATCAAAATTTTTAGTATGATCATAAAGAATTTCATAATCTTCTTATTTTATTTTGTGATATTTTTAATAAATTACAAAGAAATATTATATAATTACATGTTGTTTTAGCTATTAAATCAAACTTTTTAAATAATATTATAATGAAACATTTAGCCAAAAAATGCATACATGGTTGAATAAAGATGAAAATTATGAGAATAAATAACCATTACTTTTAATATCGTTTTAGCTGCATCCAAAATATTTTTTTAATAAGTTTAGTAAAAAATATAACAATTTTGTATTTGATTTATCAAAATGATTACAATATTTTTTAAATCATAATTTTCTCAATCTGCATAATATTTATTAAATGAGATAGAAGATTATGAATTAAAACAAAGACCTTTTAATGATATGAGAGATTTGTAATAAAAAGAAAGGAAACTTTAAAAAAAATTAAAAATTTTACTTTATAAGTTAAATATGATTTTTAACTCAAAAAAAATTTTTTTTAGAGTTTCCTTCCTTTATACTACAAAGCTTCCATATAATTTATCAACAATTTAATGGTGATATATTAAAATATTAGTAGCTTTATTCAAGAAAAGATAGAAGTAAACTTGCAAACATTACTTTTAAAATTTATAAAATTTGTGTAAATTCGGTTAAACACCTATTTTCTAATATGAAATTAAAAAAAGTCATAATCATTTATCAGTTTATTTTTAATTTTAATTTAATAATTATAATTTATTAATAGTATTTTAATAACAAATTATCGGTGATGAGTCAATTACAAGCTAAATTTCAAAAGCAAAAAGTTCTTTGAAATATATAAAAATCAAAAAAAAAATATCACAATTTGATTTTACTAGTAAAATAATTTTTAAATGATGAAATTGAGGCAGATACCAATGAATTTAAAGCATTTTAGATATCAGATTATTCAGATGAAGGAAATAGTAACAATAATGAGGAGGAAGAAAATGATAAGGAAATGATGACATTAGGTTGGAGTGCATGTATTAATTGTTGGTTAATGATGAATTATATGAGAATGAAATTAATATTGAAAATCGAAGTATAAATAAAAAATATTTACCCAATGGAAAATTCAAAAGCAAAATGGGTTTTATTTGACTTATTTACAACTGGTCTCGAAGCTCCATCATTTGTTATGGATCTTGATTCAATTGAAATTTAATATATATATAAATTTTAATGTTTTAAGTATGTAATTAAATAATTCTTTTTGTTTTTATTTTAATATTTTATTTTATTTTTTAATATTAATATAAAATATACAGAATAATTGTTTTTATTTTTATTTTTTTTTATCTATCGCACTTGAAATTTAATAAAAATGATATCATTTTAGGTCATTTTATATCATTTGACGTCATCTTTACACCTATCACTTTTATGTCCAAAAGTATACTCCATTTCCCTACAAAATATATATATAAAAAGAAACTTTAATAATGTTTCTCAAGTCAATGCCGAAAAGAACCCGAACCCTACAAAATATAAAAAAAAAGAGACGGCATCGGTGAATGTTAAAAATTATGGTTTTTTTTATTGTATTTAACGAATTAAGTAAAGCCGATCATACATATTAATATATTTATTAAATCGAGTTACGTGGGTTGTTAAATACGAAAATCAGGTTTTGATCATATGATTTATATAGTCCCGCAGCATGATTTTCGTTCTAACCCATATATGATCGCGTGATTGATAAAAGTTTACTGTAGTCACGAAATTTGAAAAAATAATTGCATTGTCAAATTACTGAATTTTCAGAAATAAAGATACAGATTCATCAATAAATAATTTAGATTTATAAAAGATTACAATAAATTATTCTATTTCTGAGTTAAAAAGAAAGAATAAAATAAAAATTTCTCAAGTTGAATAAACTATTACGGTCACAAACATAATCAGTTAAAAAAATGTTTCGTAAGTATACTTCAAATTTACAACAAACTATCCTTGTAAGATTAAATAAATACTTGTCAAAAACACTTTCCTGAATCTTGAAAGACATTGTAGCGCTCAAATCAGTGATGTTCTTTTGATAAGCATGACTACGATACAAAGGTATCGAATCTATATGAAGTCGGCCAGTTTATCTTTCATAATCTTTATTTTCTTTATGAAAATAAGGTCTATTTATGCGGCCATTGTTTAATAAAATGGTTATGTGTCATTAAATTCTAAATGTTGATTTCTTATTTTTCAATATGATTGAAGCATGCGGCTAGCAGACTTCGGACTATCATGAGTACATCAAATTAATTTAAATCACGTGATTATTTGAATTAAACGATAAATTATAATGATCTAGCCAGACCCCTATGGTAATTTGGCTATTGGTCTTCGCATGACCAACACTGAATTAAATTAAATGTCTCTTCGCGATCTCAAGATAAAGACTGGAGTTGTTAAACGGTTTGTCTTGGTTCTTTCAAAAAAAATTATCATTTTGTTTCCATATTAACAAAATAATATTTTAATTAAATCAAAAAGTCTCTATAAAGAAGAAAAATCTTATCGTAAAGAAGTCGAAAATCAACAAAAACGAATTGATAAACTGACGGAAGATGGAACTGATGAATATACTATAGCTAAACAGGTTTACGATATTATAATTTTATTGCATTTTTAAAAAAATAAAAATTATTAATCCTTTTCTGTAAATAGAAAGAAGTATTGCAAGAATCATTAAATATGATTCCAGATTGTCAAAATCGTCTTAAAGAAGCACATAAAGAATTACAAAAATTACTAGTAAGATAAAACCTTTTAATTTTTAATTTAATGATATCAAATTTTTATACAATCATAAATTATTTAGGAAAATAAGGACGCATCCTGGAATGAGACAGAAGAATTAAGACAGGCAGAAGAAATCTTTGAAGAAGTTAACAAAGAAATAGAAATATGAAGATTTATTTATATGATTGGTTATTATGTGTTAAATAAATTAAGTTTGAAAGTGTCAATATCATTATTTGAAAATTTTTTTCATTAAATAATTTTAAATAGAAAATCCCAGTCACTATTATGAACAGCATTGCTTACCTAAATTCACGTCAAATACGTCAAATATACATTAATTATACTACATAAAAAATCAAAATTTATTGTGGGGTTATATTTACATGAACGATTTGTTGACCATTTTTTTTTTTTTATAAAATAGATATGTCATAGCGTCAATCATACCATAACGCATATAAAAGTACAAAACATTATTTCATGGACAAATACATAAACAAAAAATTTTTTTTTTTTTGCAACTCTAAATATTTAAATAGCAAAGTATGCAATCTCACCAATAATAATGTAGTTTTTTTTCGAACAGGAAGTCATAATAAATTAGATGAGGCTTGAAACATTTTGATCAATGACCTTGTCACTCTTATCAGAATTGACACTACCACCACCGAGAATAGAAGTATCACAGTTCTCACTTAAATGTCCCAAATCACCACAATATCTACATCCAATTGTACAATCCTGACTAACATGACCCTGATCTCCGCAATTACCGCATCTCACGCTAGAAGGGGTTCGCCAAGGATTTGAATACTTTTTAGATCCACCTGTATTTGTTCTGTTGGTTGGAAAGAGACTAAATCCACTTGAAGATGATTGCGTAGTCTGACTAGTATTAGAACTTCCAATCGGACTTCCCGGAGAAGAGCTATTTTTTGGACTTAACGACTCATTATTATTACCTACATGGTTCTGCTTTTCTAATTGAGATATTCTTAACTCTAACGTTTGAATATATTTCATCGCCTCTTCCATCTCTTGTTGCTTTCGTGTTTCAAACATTTGGATTGTTTGAAATTCACGATCACGAGCTACCTCCAAAAGGTTTGCATATCGATCGGTCATTGCCTTGACTTCTTTTTGCATTGAAATCAGAGTGGATAACAATTGAGCTTTCTCGGTAAATAAATTCTGAATGAGCATTGTCATATCGGACCTGCTCAAAGTATCAAGGTTTAAATTACTAGCATCGTCATAGATTCCATTTGATGGAAATGACTGACCATTGGAAATAGGTCTTGGATTTGCATCTCCAGGTATCGGACCCAACCCTGGTGGAGCCGATAATTGGCGCCCATTAGTATCATGAGTTTGACTTGGCAATCCGTTAACTTTATTCTTCTCATTATAAGTTGAACTAGTTTGCGAAGAACCATTGAGTGGTGGTGCGCTTGCTGTTTCTGAGTTCATGGACCAAGAACTATTATTCGTAAAGTCTTTCGAACTATTTTCAGTTATCATATTCCTTAAAAATTGTTGTTGCTTTAATTGTTTCTGTGAATCATTAACATCTTCATGGTGGTTCGTTATTTTAGGATTTGATGCAGACTTTGCATCAACAGGCGATTCGGATTTAGATTCTGAACCGGTCTCTTTGTCTACTGATGGTGTAAGAATATGCGTATTTGCAGCTGGAACGTTAACGCTCTTTTTCTTCTTCTTCTTACTCTTTTTCGAACTTTCGGTAGGAGTTGACAATTCAGCTGATTCTGCAATACTTTGATCTTTTTCGCCTTTTTTCTTCTTACCAGACTCCTGTTTACCTTGTTCTATCGATTGTAAAAGTGATTCTTGTTTCCTTAGAGCCAAGGTCTCATCCTGCTGCCTCTGAGCTTCCTTTAAAAACAAGCGCCCGATAATACCAGACAGAGTTTTCCGTCCAGTTTCAATCCCTTCCTTATAACCCTTTAATAGTTTCTGTCTTTGTGACTCAAGTTTATGCGAAGTTGATTCATAATTTTTGTAATGCCGTCCTAATTGAATAGCTTCCCACATTTCACCCTCCATCATTAAAATTTCCAAACTTTTAGTGAAAATTCCCGTAAAATCGGTAACTGGAAACAAATTTCCAATTGAAAGGATGGCATTTTGCCTAGCTCCATATACTGTCATCTCTATTTTTTTGATTCGCTTACGAAATTCTTTATTATTTGCCTTCTCTAATCTACCTACTGTTGTCTTTTGGGATTCATTCTTATAGGCTTCCTCAAGTGCTTCAAGTTCTTGGATAAGTTCTTGACTTTTTTGGGTTATTTCTGTGCGTAACATTGACACACGTTTTGATAATAATAATTTAATGTCCTTCACTGTTCTTAGTGCATCACCACATTTTTGTAAAATATTATTATGAAATTCTGCAACACGTCCGCTAACTAACCTTTCTTCACTTTCTTCTAAAATATTAACTAATGTTCGCTGTACCTCCTCTCCAAATTGCGTTGCGTCATTCACGGACTTTTCAATAAAACCTCCTTCCCAAAGCGAAATCACATTCTTAACGTTATTAATATACGTGTGAAAAGCAGTGTCTATGTCCTCCACGTTCGCCGAATTTGTAAGGGACCCTTTCTTGGATTTACCCGACTTTTTATAAGCTTCAGCAACTGGCGCCCAATACTCATGAAATAAAAGACATTCGTCCTGGTATTCTTTCAAAAAATTCGATAGGTTCACTATACATCCCTTCCCCAAAGATAAATCTCGTTTTGCTTCCAATTGAAGCATTAAAGTTAAAAAATTATTAACATGTGACCATACCTGACCTAAACTTTCGTTTAATGCTTCTTCATTTTTACCAGCCTCCTTAAATAACTGATCATTGAATACTCTCCGATCAAGGTCAAGGTCGGAAGGATATTTCCAATCCGGTTTGGTATGGTTACATTGTTGAACCTTGCTAATATTTTTAAGAAGTGGAAACGAATCCTTTTGAATTTGTAAATGAGATTTTTCAATCCCAATCACGTCAATAAGAGATAACTGAACATTTTCATGTTCGGGGATTGGTACCGCTTGATGATGCGTATCGAATTCTACAGGAGCAAAGGTATCAGGCGATGCATACAAATTGCTTGGTGATTTAATCCATGAAAAAGCCTCTTGAACAATAACGTCAACTAAATCGGCCGTTTCATTAAATGATCCAGATTTAACCTTTTCTCCATGCTGAAGAATCAGATCACAAAAGTGTTGATGAATATCTGATGCGACCTTCTTTGGTTTCTTTACGTTGTTTCCTCCAACATTATCTCCGTTAACGTTTTGAGCATGATTCTTGACTGTCCAAGTATGGTTTTTCTTATAAACAAATGAAGCCCATTCTCGGCAATAAAGGCATGATCCCGAGTCACATGCGCGAAAGCGACCAATTTCCTTAATGACAGAAGCAGTATCTATTCGTAAGTTGGATAATAATTGTGTCTCGTTATTAACATTTTTTCCTCCTGATTGTGGTTTAACTCGCAAAGTTACAAGATTATCGTAAATAACAATAGGATCGAGTTCGAATTCGGTCATTTTTTTTTTATTTTTCTGAAAAGTTAAAGGTTAGGCAAAAAAAAAAAAAAGAAAGATATATAAGGAAGTTGCAATATAAGTAACAAAATGTTTCAATAAATCCAAACAATTAATTTTATATCACACCTTGTTTTTAAAAATGCAAGTATGTACAAAGCAAAATCGTAATTGTCGTTTCTTAAAAAAAAGTAACTTTTTTTTTAAGTTTCTTTAACGTTGCTCAAAAGTATTGCTTTTAGTAACAAACAGTCTTTTCAATCAACCATAATCTATAAGAACAAATCTGTGTAGGTGACCCAGTGTTGATCTACCATTTTGCGGGAACTGGTTTGTGAGACATCGATGACTATAAATGACGTAAAGGGACGGTCTTTATCACAATATTTTTTCACCCGGCCGGCATTACAGCATTAAGACATTAACCTCGTGAGTAACAAATAGGAAAAAGAGGAAAAACTGCCAATATTAAAAAAGTTCTACAAATATAACTACAACTCACGACTAATCACCAAAATTTCATACTCGCAAAATTACCACAGCTACATCTGTGTTTTGAACCAAATATAACCTATAGTTTAAAGGAGTATGAAAAAACGTACGGATGAAAAAATAAAAATGCTCCCTTAAGGAAAATCTTAAACAACAACTGAAACCATTCCCTTTATAAATCCGAACAAATTCGATACACTTACTAAGAGATTTATAATTTATTTAGGGGTTCATTGATCAACGCGTTGCAACATAATCTTATTGTCCTGAACCATGGGAAATATGCTAAAGTTTCGCTCAAGTCGGTTGATTTAACATGTATGTGGTGTGAGTTTGGGTTGCAATTCCAGAATCATGAATAATTTCTCGAATTGATTCTGTTAAAATAATCAATATGCATACATTTGCCCAAAGCGGGCGAAACTATATTAATGATTTTTCAGATACTGAACGAGAAATATATGATGCTATCAAAGAGGAGTACGCGGATCCTAGGTCATTTTCTAATGTAAATCTTTTACTGAAAATTTTATTTATATCGCTCATTAAGAGACTTTCACATTCGCTAATTATGATTTAATTCATTTTCGTCATTCTCCATTCTCATATAATGATTTTGTGTGTCGTTCTTTGATGTTTAAAAATTAAACGATCACTAGATGATGCCCTAATTGTATAATTGAGTTTTTCCGGACGTTACTCGATTTGATCAATTACATCATCATAGACAATCAGATCAAAAAGTTGCAAGTAAAAAAAAAAGGTGCATTGCATATGAACACTAAAGTAAAAAAAATGTTACCATACTTGTCGCCTTTTAGTTACATATATAATTTCTCTTCCTTAACCTTCAAAAAAAAAAAAAAAAAAAAAAAAAAGAGAAAAATCTTATAAAGCAAAAAAAATGACTAGTGAAATCGCAAACACATTTGTATGGGAAATTGGGAATTTTCAAAAATGGATAAAAGTCTCCAAAGGTGAATGTATTAATAGCCAAAAATTTTGGTTACCACAAAGATCTTTTGAGATAAACAACGATCAAGTTTGCAATCATCCTACTTTATGGGAATTATCCTTGTACCCAAACGGAATTTCATCGAAAGGAATGTCTTTATGTGTTCATGCTATTCAAACAAAGTATGAAAAGGAAAAAGGTATTTCTACGAGACGGAAACAATTTATTTTAGGAATTGGAGAATATGATATTAGTCAGTTATTAACTAAACGTAAAGCTGTAATTAGACAAAGTGAAAAATATGGGAATTTTACTTTTAACGGATCAAAAACTATTTCAAGTAATCGGTATGATAATTTTTTTTCATTAGACTATATTTTTTCAAGAAATGAAAAAGCGAAAGTAGTTAACTTGTTTGTTCAAGTTACTATTCTTGAAGAAAAGTCTATACCTGTCGATAGAATCAAATTCGATAATAAATATGAAGATTGTTTTGGAGATGATTCATTTTCAGATATTGAATTCGAACTTGATTGTGGGTCAAGAATTAAAGCTCATCGTGTTATTTTATCATCTAGTTCAAGTTATTTTAAAATCATGTTTTCAAGTCAATGGAAGGAAAGAGACATGGACGTCGTACCAATTAGAGAAACAAATTATACATCTTTTCGTGCCATTCTTTATTTTATTTATTCAGGAAAATTGTTGGGTCTAGAAAGTTTTGATGAATTCGAACACGCTTTTAAACTTGCGGATATGATGATGCTGAAAAACTTAAATAAATTGGTTATAAATGAATGGTTAAAAATTGTTGATAATGAAAATTGGCATAAATTCATATTATTGGGGTGGAAATATAACAATAATCTTTTAAAAAATACGGGATTAGAATACGCCGCTGATCATTGGGAAAAGGTTAAAAAAGATGATGGAATGCTACAATTGATTGCAAGTAATAACATAGAAGGAATTGAAGAGTTATTTTACATTACAAACAAAAGGTTGGAAATGTCTAATGTTGGAATAATCTTGGAACGACAACGAAAACAGTCAAAAACACAAAAACAATCGATGAAGAAAAAGTCAAAATATAAAGAATATATAGAACGTGAATATCGTGCTTGTGATTATATAGAAGTTAATGATGATGTTAATGGTTTCATGCTAAACGAGTTATCTTATTGTACTGAAAAAACGATTATTGATCTGGAGGATTCTGAATAGATTTCAGGTTTTGGATTGATTAAATTATTTATATTAATAATTCTTTTGAAAAAAGGATCCTATTTAATGTCTTGAAAGTTTATCATAAAAGAAATAATTATTGATAAAAGATTATCAGTTTTGAAATATTATACCTTTTATATGATTGTAATAATAATAATAACATATGCAGCACGTCTCCAATTTTGAGTAGTCAAATGGAGTTACAAATAATTAAAAAGCTTTTATTAAAATAAAAATGAAAATCTTGTTTTATTATAAAAAACATCTTTTAAATTTATATAAAAACTATCTGAAAACCTATCTTTATAACCTATAAGAAATTCTTTTTTCTCTTGCAAGATTACATATATTTTTATTATCAAAATAATGAATAACAACAAGATAGCAGTTAATATCAAAATGAAATCATATAAGAGGTTTGCTAGAAAAATAGGGTTTTGAGAATTTTTTTACTAAAATTTAATTCTTATTGCATTTTAATCTAATATTATCAAAAATTAAAATGCAATAAAAATCAAAATTTTATTAAAAAATTTTTTGAATCCATTTTCTTAGTAAATCACTCAGATGATACTTTCAGAAAGTTATAGAAATAGTACATCATCATATAGACATTATTAGATTGGCAAAATAAATTATTTACCATAATACCATATTGATCTAATAATCTATGATTCTTTAATATTTTCACTGATTTAATAAGAATGAAAAAATACAATCAAATTCTAGTTAATATAAGATTACTAGATCTTTAAAAGTATCCAATGAAATAATCAAACATTTAGAATCTTAAATCCAAAAGATTTTATGTAAACTAATATGTTTTTATCTCACAATCAATTTAATTCTAAATAATTAAATAAATAGTTAAAACTTTACTTATATTTACCTAATATCTAAACCAAAATTATAGGAATTCAACCTAAATAAAACTTAATTAATTATTCTACTAGAATATTTAAAAAAGGTCTTAATTAAACTAAATAATCATAAATTGCTTAATATCTTATCAGCTATAAAGAAAATAACTTCACAGAATTTCTATATAAAAGTATATTGAATTAATATTAAAGATGAGGGACGAAACTCAAAAAAGGCAATTAATAAACAGCCGAAACTATATTAAAACATAGTGAGGGGT